TTTTCCCCATACCCCTGCCCTCCCTTCACCCCCTCCACCCTCCCCTATTTACAAAGACTTTGTTTCCGTTTCTTTCCTTTTCACATACTTTTTCTTGTCCCTTATTTCCTTTCCCCTACTCTTCCCAGTATTTATTTTATAAACTGAGGTTTTTTAATAATATAGCCCCTTTACTACTTTGTCTTTTTATACTGAACTAGAGGTGGAGAGGATGGAATTGGGGCCCTGGCTCCAAAGCAAGCCAGGCTGTTTATCAGTTCTCCCTGCTTAATTGCTCTTAGTGGAGGTTTAACTCTTTCCAGTCAAGATTTGCCGGAAACCTCACTAAGGCCCTTAGCTTTCCCTGCCTGTCTCCCAACTTTCCCTACACTGACCACAAAATCTACAAGATGTCAGAGCAGGAATATTTGTATATCTGCCCACACTGACCTCCTTCTGCCACCCACTATTTATTAGGCCTCTCTATTTTTTAGTCTTCTCCTTCTTTACATATTATTCTATTTCTTAAACATAATAAGCCATTTCCCCCTTGCTATTCAAATGTTTCATGAAGAAAAAAATTAAGTGTCAAAAATATTTTAAAGAAATAATTTTTGAGCTAGGAATAAAACTCAGTAGCAGAACATTTACCTAACAGCCACAAGTCCCTCGGTTGGACATGAGAGAAAGATAGAGACAGACACAAATACAATTTCTCAGTAAGCTTTGCAGCATACTAATGTATTAGAAGGTCAGAAGTCAGTGATGCATTTTCTTTCTGTATTTTCTTTCCTTTCCTTTCTTTTCTTTCTCTCCCCCCCCTTATCTTTCCTTCTCTCTCTTTCTCCCTCTCTCTCTGTCTCCCTCTCTCTCTTTTTTTCTTTCTTTCTTGCATTCAGGTTTACATTTTCATAAGACTTGGTTATTCTCCCTGGGTTGGCAGCAAATTGCCTCCTGCCAGTTGCAGGAAGGGGAGGGCCCTTTGATAGTGATAAGTAGAAAAATTGCTGATAGGGTTTTCAGCAGGAAAAACCTATCTTTAAGCTTCTGTCTCGTCTGTATTATAAGGCTCGTGTTCAGTTTTACTTTAGTGTCTTCAAAACAACGGCTGCTTTTATTTTTGGTTTTAACACTTTACTTTTGATTTAATAGTGGTATACAAACCAAGATTTTCTCTGTGCTTTCCCATTTTTTTTTTAAGTCATGATGAAATGAATGAGTATTTGTCATTTAAATCTTCCTTCTCACCAGGCATGGTGGCACACGCCTGTAATCCCAGCACTCGGGAGGCTGAGGCAGGAGGATCGCTGTGAGTTCGAGACCAACCTGGGCTACACAATGAGTTCCAGAGCAGTCTGAACTACATAGTGAAACCCTGTCTCAAAAAACCAAAAAGATATGCCGGGGATTTAGCTCAGCTGTTCGGTGGCCTGCCTTGCAAGCACAAGGACCCGAGTTCAATCCCCGGTACCAATAAATCCATCAATCAATAAATCTGTCTTGCCTTCTCAAAATTATTTAAAAGAGATTGAAGGAAAAAGAATAAAATCTACTGAGTGCCTGCCTATGCCAGGCTCTATGCTGAGGGCTTTGTGTCTATAATTCTTAATATCTATTTAATACAGCAGTGTTAGCCATGTTTCAAGGATAGTGTCCCATGGCTAATAAGCAGGTGTAGGGATTCAAAGCCAGTGGTCCAAAGCCCTTGCCCATTACATGGAAGCATGGATGAACATCTATACATAAGACAGTTAAGAATGAAAGAGAACATGTAGAAGGACCACATTGTTACATTCTTATAACAATATTATAGGTCAACAGTATTGGAAAAGAGCATTTAACAGTTTGTTGTTGTTGTTGTTGTTGATTTTGTTGTTGTTTTCATTCATTTCTATTCCAGAACAGTGAGAGGAACTGTTGAAAAATCCTAGTTGGCCCCAGCAAGCAGCACATTCTACATTATGGGCCTATAGCAAAGATATCAATATCTTGTAGAAGAAATAATTTGAATCTAATCACTATTCTAAGAAAACCTTGTCATTAGTGTCTAGAAAGACTTCCCCAACAAGTAGCATTTAACAGTAGAAAACTGGATACTGTATTTTTCCTTTGCCTTGCGATGCTCTATTCTTGTCAGGGACATGTGACACATTCAGATAAGGGACAGAGACAGCTGAGGTGAAGGTACTGGTGCATTCTGGCCTTCTCCATGTCTCCTCCCCAGTCGTGCCCAGGCATTTTAAAACACACTCAAGATTCCCGTCACATGGATACTCAGGCTTGTGAAGCGTTTCTGCAGGCATTGTTCTGGAACTAAGCCTTACTTTTCCTGTCCTGATTTTCCATTCTCTGGAGTATTCTGTTGTCCAGTTTTTGTCGCTCTTTGGATCCCCTCTAAAGACATACACAGAAGAAAGGTGTTAAAATAGGAAGGGCAACAAACTTCAAGGTAGACTTGTAGTATAACACATCCCATGAATTGGAGAATAAAAATATACCTTCCATGTCTTATTACTATTAATATTTGACATTTGTATAGCACAGTATATACATCTTTCATGGATCTCAGATAATCCATTGTGATAGGAGAATAGTTATGTACAGAAAGCTTTACCTACTGTAGGGGTGTTGTGTGTGTTATCTCATGAAATACTTAGAGTAGCTCCAGTGACTTGAGGGGTCTGCGGTCTTTGGCTTCCTAATCTGGTGGTCTGCATAACATTGCCATACCTCCTATTTCTTCCATTTTTTACCCTACCCGGGACTCCTCTATTCCTACTTTTGCTGATGTGTTTTTCTTACTATTGTAGGCTGTCAAAGTGAATGCTGAACAAGCTACAGAAATCTCAAATTTGTGATTTCTCTTGGGCATTTAAAACCCTCCAGCAGGTTCTACCCAACACTGGTGTCCTCTTTACTTTGGCGATCAAAGCCATCTGACAGTAGCAAAGCCTTCTGTTAATATATATGTATTGTAGGATCCATAGTATGGAATCTCCTCAACTTGGTGCTCCATGAAAACAGTGAGGGTTTCTAGACTAGTTCATGGGGCATTGGTTCTTGGACTTTTAAGATAAATAGATGTTCTTTTTTTAAGGAAGAAGACCCTATATATTAATTCAGTTATTTCCGCCTCCTTTTCAGGGGTAGAAGATGGGTGGAAAGGGGAGGTGTTGGGAAGCTTTGTGTGAATAAATAATCAGTACTGTAGTTGCATTATATTATTTAATGTCTGCTTTTGTGCTTATTAAAGTTGATTCAGTGCTCAGAGGAAAATGGTTTCTTTTTCAAATGCCCTATTTTGTATGACTTATAGTTGGATTATCTACAGGGCAACCCGAAAATGCATTGTGATCCCATTACTTTTGGAACCACTAAGAGTATTCTGTTGTACTCAAGATGTAAACAATACATTTTTGCTTATTTATTCATCTAGCGCACTGTTTGCTGGCCAAATGAATAAATAAGGATTAATACAACGTGGTATCTGTCCTTCCAAAGACAGGCTTTTAAAAAACTCAGTATGTTCTCTGCCTCATTAGCTATCAATTGAATACCTGTTCTGTGCCAGGTTTGAGGTGGGGCACAGCATGTCCCAGCTCTTGGAGCTTTCTAGTCCATTAGATCCTATAGCCAGAGAAGCAGTTTTTGCTGTGATAAGAAGAGGCGCAGTTCCTTTGGCAGTATAGTCCAGAGTTTTGGAGAAGGTATCTGGAAGAGTGAGGGCTGAAGAATCAGTAGAGATTAAAAACCTGAAGGACATAGAAATGGTTAATTGTTACCCAAAGGATAATGCAAAGCTGTTGTCAGGTTTTATATGTGAGACTGTTGACTGCTGAGTTTAAATATCACATTGTTTCTCGTGCTAGAGAAACCCAAAAGATAAATGAAGAGCATAATGGATGTTAGACATTGGAGAGTAGGAAGAACATGTTCAAATGGGAGAGATAACAAGAAAGGGTGAGTGAGGAGGAAAAGAAAAGAAGAAATGGAAACAAAGCTTGTGTAAATGAGAGGAAGAAGAGTTAAAGAGAGGAGAGAGGAATGGGAGTAAAATAATTGAGATACGTTATACAGATACAAATCCCTATGATGAATGTGTGACAAATATATACTAATAAAAAGAATGAAGTTTTAAAAAATTAAAATGAAGGTCAATGTGAAAAAAGAGTCTGGGACATTTGTACTATGTTTGCAAACTCATTGTGCTCGTGTCTGTCTTCCTGTCTGTCCACCTCTGTCTTTCTGAAAGATTAGAGAGGAGAGCAAAGGGAACAAGGTAAAGGTCACCTAATAGATTACACGTAAAGTTTGTTCACCTCTCAGGAGATTTGATTGAAGAGTCTTAAATCAAGAGACTTGACTCTGGTGATGCTGTGGCTGGTAACCCACAAGTAACAATTCTGGAGTCAGAATAGGCAACTCCTATTTGAAAGCAGTTGTAGTAGTTCAGATGAGAATTGATAAGAACCTTAAAAATAGAAAAGAAGAACCTGTTAAGAAATACCATCACCCTGTGAAACCTTTGAAGAGGGGAAGAACAGACTTTACAAGGCACACTGTCACAGGAGGTCAGCAAGGCATTCATTACAGTGTATGTAGGCAGTAAAGAGAAAAGGGTAAGGTAGGAGGCTTGAAAAATAGGTTAAGGTTGAATGTGAAGCAACTCATGTTCCATGGCTCGGATTTGGGATTAATCTTACTAGCGAGTTAATTGTTTTTAACTATTGCATGAGTATTTGGAACTGTATCCTAGAGAGTAGCTAACGCTGGAGTGCCATCACTTTTCTAAGCACTTCAAACAATAATGCACTTAATCTTCATTGTAACCCTCCTGGATGAATGTCATTATTATCTCCATTCTTTTAATAGGGATAGGCAGTATAAACAAGAGAAAAACTTCCTTGTGGTCCTATACTAGTAAACCATGGAGCCCAGATTTAAACCCAAGTAATATGACTCAGGACTAGCACCCTTAACTCCTTACTCAGTTGTTCTCAACTAGGGATCACAGTATAGCAGGTAGCATTTCTAAAGATCCAGTTGTCTAGACTGAGTACATCAGAATGTCCTTGAATAATGCATGACAAAAGCTCCACTGGTAGTTGTCTTATACTTGCTCACACTTGAATACTTCAGGGAGTCCACTTAGGAAGTTCTACCAGTGTCCAGGCAAGAGATGATGAATGCTGAAACTAGATTCAGCCAGTAGGTAGTGGAGGAAACAGTTTTAAGAATTAAGGGGTAGAATTGATTTAATGAGCTATAAGCAGTGGGGAAGAATCAAAACTGAATCCAAAGACTACACAGTTGAGTGTTTATGTAAGCTCAGCCAAGGCAAGAAGGGAGGGTGGGGAGGAAGAATAATGAGTATAGTTTTGAACATTTGAATTTTAGGGTCTGTAGGTCATCCAGTTGACAGCGCCTTAACAAGGTTTATCTTTTGGGGTGCTTGTGTACTAACTCTTAATGCTTTAGTGCTGAAACTAAAGCAGATGGCATGAAGGAAGTAAACAACCCAGTTAGAGATGAGAAGGTGGAACTGGTAGTATTCATAACAGGAATTTGGTGGTTTTGTATAGGGTGTGAATCTTGTCTAGGAAAGTGGGTATAGGACCATACCTTAAGTCGTGGATTAGCCTAATCCCAGTGATGTTTCGTTGCAACATAAGGTTATAGAGATTGGAGAAATGGAGGTCCACTCATTAGAAGTATATAGAGGATTTTGATTAAAGTCAGAATTAATGATCCCTGAGCATAATTTGAGGCTCATGCTTTTATTTTACTTCTCTACTTTAGGTCCCATGGGTGAAACTCCTTAAGGCGTCCAGGTTGAGTCAGAGTGATGCCAGTGTGAGACCTAGGTGGTGTGAAAACACCCCAGAACCAGGAAATGGCTACAGCCTTGGAAGCAGAGGACCAGGATCTTTGGGAAGAAGAGGGAATTCTGATGGTGAAACTGGAAGATGATTTCCCCTGCAGACCAGAGTCTGTCTTACAGAGGGATGACTCTGTGCTGGAGACTTCTCACCAGAACTTTCGACATTTTCGCTACCAAGAAGCAGCAAGCCCTCGAGAAGCTCTTATCAGACTCCGAGAACTTTGTCATCAGTGGCTGAGGCCAGAGAGGAGGACAAAGGAGCAGATCCTAGAGCTGCTTGTCCTAGAGCAGTTCCTCACTGTCCTACCTGGAGAACTGCAGAGCTGGGTGCGGGGCCAGCGGCCAGAGAGTGGCGAGGAGGCCGTGACACTGGTGGAGGGTTTGCAGAAACAGCCCAGGAGACCAAGGCGGTGGGTGAGGAGGGGGAGTCCTGATCTGTGTGACGTGGAGGGGGACTGACACTGAAAAGCTGGATCAGTGGAGAAGACAGAGGACTCCCATAAATTATCCACTAATCAGCCCTGCCCTTAGGTTGCTCCTAGGTCCATAAACCCCACAGGGCAGGAGTATGTGTGAATGTGTGACGTTCTGGGTTGTGGCTTTGGTTTTCTTTCTTTGGATGTTGAACCTTAGGTTCCTGGGGAAGAAAATTTTATGACTTCCTCTAAAGTCTAGACCCTCAGTCTTAGATACCCCTACCAGAATGGTAAACTGGGGAAGCAGATAGCACGAGAACTTCAGGCAGAGTGGGTGGAGGTGGGAAGGATGAGGACCTCCGAACTCTTGGGTAATAGGAGCAAGGGTCAAGGCAAGTGAGAAAGCAGTATAGTGTTTGAGTGCCCCACTTCCTTGTCCTGGTGAGCGTCATTTTCAGCTTTGTGCATGTCCTGGTGGAACTGAACCTTCCCTTCATCTGGGTCCATCTGGGAGTTTTTCATAGGTGCTTTCTAAAGCAAGCATTGATAATGACCAGGAATTTCTTCCTGACTCCATGGTGACTGGAAGTTGGAATTCTTCCCAGGTGACCGTCCATGTTCATGGCCAGGAAGTCTTGTCAGAGGAGACAGTGCATCTAGGGGCAGAGCCTGAGTCACCCAGTGAGCTACAGGATCCAGCACAGACCTCGAGCCCTGAGCAGTCACATGAGGAAGCCAACCAGAGCCCAGATCAGGGGACCCCAGGACGGCAGAGCCTTCACTGTGAAGAGGAGTTCCAGCCCATGCAGGAGAACGGTGGGAAACCTGAGCAGGAAGAGGGGATTGTGGCAGAGTACAGGGAGAGGGGAATCTGTGCAGACTGTAATGGAGAGAAATCACAGAATTCCAGATGTTGAGAAGGCACAATACCAGCTGGAACCTCGCCTAAATGGGGCCAAGCTTAAATAGCACTGTTCTGGCTTGCTCTTTTGTCCCTCTGATCAAAAGAACACCAAAAGGTGGCATTGTGATGGCTTCATCACCTGAGGCCAGTTTTCTAACTCCCGTAACGGGATTTAGGACCACCTTCCAACCAAAGATGATGGGCAGTGCTCAGGTATTTGCCATTTATTAGGGTGCATTGTATGTTGCTGATTTCTTGCCTTCTTTTCTTAGAGGTTCCAGTGCTTCGGGACCCAGACCTTTCTGCAGAGAGGAGCTCCAGAGACCCAGACATGGTTGCCCTTCTAACTGCTCTGTCACAGGTATGCCCCTGTTCCCTCTGTACAAGTTTGTTGGGAGGACTGTTGGGTATTAGCCACATGCTAAACAGATCAGGTGGAATGCAAAGTTAGCACTCTTCAGCAATTTAAGTTCTCAGTTCTGCAAGTACATGGAAGGGTAAAAGAAATGATAGATTATGATGGTTTCTATTGGATCTGCAGACTCCATAGCCTCTTTATCTGCTACTGACCAGAGGAGCTAACAAGTGGGATTATTTTATACCTTTCCAGGACAGCTTTGAAGTTGTTAAGTGAAGGGGTTTTGCTTTTAGGAATAAATTTGCTAGTCATTTGTAAAAATGGCTGATTTCACTGCCATTACATTTATAAGGCATTCACCATGTTCAGAACCCTGAAACTAAACTGTGTGGCTGGAGGAGAGGAGAGAGAATTCATCCATGATTTTGCACTGTAGTCTAGCTAAGGAAAAAGTCTTATGCTGTAGAATGTGTGAAAGGATGATTAGATAGGGTTAATTAGGGATAGCTTTTAGGAAAAGGTGAATTTTTACAGAGATGAATATAGCATTAAAACATCAGATAGTGTAAAATGATGCACTTTCTTCAGTTTTAAATAATACTCTAACAAAGAAGAAAAATATGGGCTAGTCCACAGGGAGCTGCAGGAGCAGGTGTAACGGCAGGGCTTTCCCAGAAGTAGAAAGTCAAGAAGTGAGACAAACTGGGGCAGAGCTTCCTGAGAGGAAACCTCATGGCCTATTAGAGTCCTTTTGTCTTCTGGATAAATTCTGCTTATACGTATGACTTCATCCCAGAACAAACTTGAGTCTACCAAATTCTGATTTGATCCTTGTGTTGATTCAGGGACTGGTAACCTTCAAGGATGTGGCTGTATGCTTCTCCCAGGACCAGTGGAGTGATCTGGATTCAACACAAAAAGAATTCTATGGAGAATATGTCTTGGAAGAAGACTGTGGAATTGTAGTCTCTCTGTGTAAGGAATTTCATGTGTTTCTAGAGCATTTTAAGTACAGAGATCTTTTCCTCTTAGAAATTGGGGGGAATCTTAGATCTTAGATTATATGCACTTGAACGTCTTTTATGCTTACCCCACCAATGAACCACTTAAAGGCTAATTAGCTGAAGCAGATGGTATCCTTCCAGGTTAGAAGGAAAAGAATAAATGCTTGGAAACGTGATTGGAATCTTCTAATTTAAAAAAAAAAAAAAAAAAGCTATACTAATAGCCTTAGTACAGAAATATTTGAGGTAAGCATATAAGTTTTCAAACAAGCAGAACAGTGGGAGATAATCTGCTTTCCTAAATATGAGGAAAGGGGCTAAGATTTACCCTCTTATTATTGAAGTAATTATTGAATTGCAGGTGAAAGGCCCAAGAAAGACAGTATTTTGTTAGAAGAAACCAGTTGACCAGCTGTGTTTGGTCTTTAACCTGCCATCCAGAAAAGATAATGTTCTTAACTCAGGGAAGTGTTGAACTAGTGGTGATGTCCTGTTCTCCCTTTCTTGAGCAGCATTTCCAATCCCCAGACTAGATGATATCTCCCAGGTTAGAGAAGAAGAGCCTCAGGTCCCAGATATCCATGAGCCTCAAGAGCCTGAAGAGCCAGAAATCCTGAGTTTTACCTACACAGGTGAGGAATGACAGAAAGGGTCTTACCACTCTGAGTGGGTAGTTCCTCGAGTCAGTGCTTCTCTTTCCTCCTAGGGCCCCTCATTGGTTCTTCCAGCATGTTAGCCATTGCTGTCATCTCCCTCTGAAAGCCAGACTCTTCTGTCATTTTCCTCTTCACCCTTCTCAACATTTGTTTGAGGGTTAGGCAGTGCAAAGAAATGTGAAACAACTGAACTTCTGAATCACTGCTATACCATTTCCTACCCAGTTCTTAAACCCTTGATCTTCAGTCTCTGCATCTGTAAATTGAGGGTGATGATATCGTCCATGCCAAGTTTTGTTGATGTCATAACATATGAGAACATGGGCCATGCTGGGCATTCAATTAATTATTTCCTTCTTTCCCCGCTTTACATTTAGGAAGTATATGCTTTTTCAATATGGCCTTACCCTCAAAACCCTTTTTAAAATCCCCTCATTGTGCAGAAAGCATTGTTGCCACATAATTCTCCTTTTCTCCTCTCACCCCTTCTACAGGAGAGAGGAGCGAAGATGAGAAGGAATATGTTGAGCAAGATCTCAGCTTGGAGGATGTGCACAGGTCTGTTTTGGGAGATCCAGAAATTCACCGGACTCCAGATTGGGAAATCATCTTTGAGGATAACCCAGATAGAACTAATGAAAGAAGATTTGATACAAACGTTTCTCAAGTTAATAGTTTCTTGAATCTTCGGGAAACCATACCTGTCCACCCCCTGCTAGGGAGGCAGCATGACTGTCCTGTGTGTGGGAAAAACTTCACGTGTAACTCTCACCTTATTAGACACCTGAGAACTCACACAGGAGAGAAGCCTTATAAATGTATGGAGTGTGGGAAAAGTTACACACGGAGCTCACATCTTGCCAGGCACCAGAAGGTTCACAAGATAAACACTTATAAATATCCTCTAAATCGGAAGAATGTGGACAAGACCTCTCCACTGATTCAAGGTGAGAGAACAGCATCTGTGGAGAAACCCTACAGATGTGATGATTGTGGAAAACATTTCCGCTGGACTTCAGACCTTGTTAGACATCAAAGGACACATACAGGGGAAAAACCTTTCTTCTGTACTATTTGTGGCAAAAGCTTCAGCCAGAAATCTGTGTTAACCACACACCAAAGAATCCACCTTGGAGGTAAATCCTACTTGTGTGGAGAGTGTGGAGAGGACTTCAGTGACCACAAGCAGTATCTGGCACACCGGAAGACGCATGCAGCTGAGGAGCTCTATCTCTGCAGCAAATGTGGACACTGCTTCAACGACAGCACAGCATTTGCCAAGCACTTAAAAGGACATACCTCAGTGAGGCAGTGCCGGTGCAATGAATGTGGAAAAAGCTTCAATCGGAGGGACCACCTGGTCAGGCATCAGCGCACACACACCGGAGAGAAACCGTTCACCTGCCCTACCTGTGGGAAAAGCTTCAGCAGAGGATATCACTTAATCAGGCATCAGAGGACCCACTCAGCAAAGACCTCCTAGTGAGGTACCCACGTGAGAAGATCTTCATTCAGCCATCACCCAGGATGGGACGAGAGAACCTCTCAGGCAGCCTGGGAACACCTTTTCTAAGGTGTCTCCAGACTGCCATACCTCTTCCCACCACCAAATAAAAGCTTCAAGCAGAACCTCTAATCTTGTTATGCACCATGAACTGATGTTTTATCCAAGGTACAACCTAAATTGAGGCTTCTCCTTCACTGAAGTGCTCCTGCCTCTACCTCATGGGAATTAAAATAGGAAAATTAGAAGACTGAAGAGGTTGTGGTCACTCTATTTTCTAAATAAATAGACTGTTAAATATCCTCAAAACTACTTATCAGCCTCACTTTTAAAGTGGCCAAGGACAGTCCCTTAGGTCTGGTAAGGGACCAGCTTGAAGGGTTCTGTCCTTCCTGGGCTCAAATCTTAAAGCACACAGCCACTAAATTGAGACAGGAGATTTGCTTCCTGATGACTTTGCCATACACAGGATAGCATATAAATCCTTTACTGTCTAACCCACTTCTTTACCATGCACTTTCCTTTGATGCTAGGGAGAAATGGGAGGAAATTCAAGAGCAAACCCCTCAAGGCTGCTTTATGTGCACCTTGGCAAGGTGCTCCCTTCTCTACTGTCAAAATGATATCAGATGCCAGTCACTGCCAGAATGGAAGGCCTGGTCAGAAGCCTGTTTGCTTGGGCATTTTTTTGTTTGTGTGTTTCTTTTCCTGCCTTTAGACTTCTTACTGTTTAACATTCTTTGTCCCTAGCACTTCTACTATAAATGAGATATAGAATTTGAGGGATTCCATAAAGCATAACTAAATCATGATGAAATCATTTACATTCCCACATGTGTACAAACCCACCCCCACACACACACACAGACCTTCACAATGCGTATGTGAAGGGATTTGGAACAGTGTCACCATATACAGGTTCTGTAACATAGAATTGTGATTGTTTGCTTCATTTACACGAAGAAAAGTGGAGATCTAAGATTACACTCTAGAAAAATAAGGAAAAGCTGTTGCTGCTGGCCAGACCATCAAGACTATTCTGATACTCTCCATCATCCCTGCTTCATTTCCTTGATGTCAGGAAATTATGAACCCATCACCTGGGGCACTGTGGAGTCACAGGAGTAAATGGCTCTCATGTATCTGTATTGTTTGCTTTTTCTTACATGATTTCATTAGTGTGTAAAGAAGAACTAAATATCTCATGGCCCAAAGGTCTCTTTTGCCTGTTCAGGGTTCCATGGTGAGGAGGCTGAATATGAACCTCACCTGCTTTGGTTGTGGGAGTGGCAAGGACTGGAGCACAGGGTATGGGAATAAAGCATGAGAAGGGAAACAGTCTTCTGTGCCTGATTGCTTCTGCTTGTTTCACAATCTGTTGTGTGCTGTTGTACATCAGAGGAATGCAGTGGGTTAACAAGACCCCAGCCCAAATAGTCTAACAAGGAAGTTCCTATTTTGGCCAGTAATGACATTGTGATAGACTGGTTTAGTTTTAATACCAGCCATCATCCTTCTGAAGTAATACAAGCAGGCAAGTTCCTTGCTTTTCTAGCACCTTCCATTTTATCTGTTCACTTTCCAAGACATGAGGATTCTAATGATTCTGAAGATTCATCTTATAAATAGGTATAGGAGTACAGAGTAGTTTTCCATGAGGCTTATGAAGGCTTGGAATGGTTAATATAGTCGCAGGTGGAACATACATGGGACAGTAAGCTAAGACCAGATCCTGGAGTTTGCAGAAGAGGCTAGCAGGCATTTCACAGTTGGTGGTGGGAGAAATGTAGCATCAAAAGATAATTTCTCTTAACCTCATACTAACCATTTAGTAAGCTGATGGAATGCCGAAGGTGACAGAATGAATAAACTTTTGTTAAACTGCAGGATTGCAATAAAATCTTAAAGAGAATTCTACATAAGAGAGTTTGAGAGACTGGTCAAATTTTTGGAACATTAAGTAGTACTATAATACTATTGATGATCCCCTGCAAAATTTTATATGCTGACACTAAAGCTCTGATCCCTTTTGTAAATCACTATTTTCGGAGGTTCCTGGAAAGATGTACTGTCTCCCAAATCTAAAAACAAAAACAATGGGCTGATTATTGACTTAAAATGTTAATGAAAAATGAAAAGATAACTGAAGAAATTAATAGCAAAAATTACAGTATGTTAAAAGTTGCTTCTTTCAAAACACTTAAGCCTTTATCAGTATTGATTATGAGATGGAATTATAGAAACAATGACAAGCTATAAAGTGAATAATCAATATTGTATGATGCAAAAATAGTATGAAAATACATGGCAGCAATAACAATACAGAGAGGTGGAGTTAAAATGTTCCACAGTTAAGACGAAAAGAATGGTTAAGTCCTCTTTTTGACAAGAGCAATCAAGGATGGATATGTGTGTGTATGTGGTAAATATATATATACTTACATATATATTTATCTCTGGTAACCATTAAAAGAATACTGTAAAAAAGTATAATTGATGGGTTAATGAAAAATGTAGTAGAAAAAACAGTGCAACTGAAGGCAAGAAATGAGAGAATAGGGAATATAAAATAAGTATGCCAAGTAGATACATGGGTGGTAGCAAAGGGCCCAAATATATAAGTAAGTACATTAAATGTAAGTGGGTTAAATACTTTTATTTCAGACCAAGTTATTTCTCAGGTAAGAAACAGGGAAATACATAAGAAGATACTTAGCACAGTCTGAGTCACACTGCATGTGAGGCAATGCTGTGACCCCCCTAAGTAGAAGTAATCGTGGTGCAGGAAGAGGCCCCGCGAGGAGATACACATTTGAAAGCACATAGTACAGAGGTAAATTCAGGACATGGGTATGGATGAGAACTTCTCAGACAAAACATAGGTTTAAAAGAAAAATGCAGCAACATTTAAGGAGTAATTGCTGGAGTAAGTGAAGTATGCAACAAAACAGGAACAACAGAATAATTAGAAAACTTGAAAAACTCCAAGAGAAGAAAAATTTAAAGGAGGATGTAGTCAATTTGTCAAATGCCATAGATACATCGACTTGGATGAGGACTAAAAGCATTTGCTTTAATAATTAGATCAGTTATGAAATTTGTAAGGGACATTAGGTGAGCTATTAGCCATGGGAAAAGAGGCTAGGAGTGCAGAGCACTTCTTCAAGAAACTCGGGAAGACAAAAAATATATGGCAGTTGGGGTAGATGCAGTGTCACGCTAAGGTGTGGGCTCTTTTGGTCTAAAGGATGCTTAATGCATGGAGGAGTCAAGCTGCCTTTATTGAGCACCTGATACGACTATTCTTACTAAGGAGAAAGCCATTACTTGAACAGGGAAAGTAATTGTACATAACGGCTAATGTAGAAAATTGGGTTCCTAAACTAAGCAACAAATGTGATTCTGTATAAATAACTCTTGGTCTTCAATGAGAAAAACTATTGGTCTGTAAACAATATAAAGACAGCAGTAATTGTATCATATGATAACAACTGCATTTGTATATAACCAAGTTGCCTATGTTATAATAGGGAGCATATCAGTTAGAGGGCCAGCCAGCCATGGCATCGTGGGCTATTGGAGAAGGGAAAACGGATACAGCACCCATAATCCAGTAGTTCAGAATACCTGAACTAAATGACAAGCTTCCTTTTCCTGTGTCCCGAGTCTTTAATAAATAACCACTATGGGACAGGTGCTGTGTGAGATGTTGTGAAGATGCCCTGAACGGAAGAGACAGTGACCCCAACCCTCATGGGGCATGCAGAACAGTGAGAAAAGCAAATGGCCAACAAAATAAACACTCGCTTGCATTATGTAGCATATTAAAAGGAGATATATGTCTAGAAGCAGAATTAAATGAGGAAAGGGGAGAGGGAGTGGAAGGGATGGGGGAGGGTCTCCTCAGAGAAGGCTCTCCTGAGACAGTGACATTGGAAGAGATGGAAAAGCCTTGGTGGGGCAAGTCACACAGATATGCAGGGAAGAATATTCTGGAGAGTAAGGATCAAGTGTGAAGTCCCCATGGGAAAGCAGTAGGAAACTGGATCAGTTTGGAAACTGGATAAAGAAGATGTGGTTTTCCTATAAAATGGAATACTACTCAGCCATAAAGAATAAGAACTTAGATTCAGTCATGGGAAAATGGATACATATTGAGGATATACTCCTAAGTGAAATAAATAAGTCACACATGTGTAAATACTGAATAGTTTCTCTGGTGTGAAAAACTATAATAGTACATAAGATCCTAATGAGATAATTGACCATGTGAAATAGGAAGAAAAGGGCTAAAGGTGTAGGAGAAGTGGGAAGGGTAGGGGAAAGGTAATAAGGGAAAAGAAAAAAAATATGAGAAAAAGGAAAGCGGTAGGAGATGCAGCATGGGAGTCAGTGAGCAGCCAAACCATAGCCCCTTAGAAGCCGTTGGCACGGCCCTTTATCCAGCTTCTATTCACCAGAAGGCAGGGGACTTTCAGAGAACTGATACGTGATCTCGCAATAATTATAGACAGGCAGACTCGAGGGACAGAGATGGAAGAAGAGAGGCCACCGTCAGGCTAATGGTCTGCAGATGGGGCAGTGGAAGTGAGCGGATGTGGCACAGCTCAAACTGTAAACTGCTGGTAGAATTAACACAGTTTGCCAGTAGGCGTGAAATTTCAAAAAAGATGAGATCAAGATAACTCTAAGATTTTGGCCTGAGTAAATGGGAGAAGGTAAATGCCAGTGATGAAGACGGGAAAATTCTCACCTGTAGCAACAGGAGTGTAGTTTGAACGTGGCGGTGTTGGAGATGTCTGTGAAGCATTCTAGTGGAAACTCTGTAGGTAGCTAAACATGAGCATTGAAAGGTAGGATTTTAATATCTATTCAGCACTAACTGTTACCTCCTCGATGTCAAGCACTGTGGTAACTAGGATGATTACTAAGAGGTATGCTTCCAAGGAACCCATAAACTACAGGAAAGACTGGTCTCTGGTATAACATATGTGATGTGCCCCAGTAGGTAAGTTAGAAGGAATAGAAAAGCTTTGCTGAGAGATGAGTACAGAGGCAGAACAGGTGAATAGTTAAGAGCACAGTCACTGGACAAATAAACCTATGGCCTAGATTTGAATCCTACCTTCATTTACTTGCTGTGTGACCTAGGGCATGTGAATTGTCTTACATCTCTAAGGCTTCCAGTAATTAAAGTTGGGAGTATCAGTAGATCACTGAGAAACCAGTGTTATTTACTAGATATGATAAAAGCCTTCACTCTGAGCTGCCCTGATTCTAGAAAATGAAGCCAAACCTCCCACCTCAAGATTCAACTCACAGCAGACCTGCAGTTGCACTTGCAATATAAGGAATTACCACTAGGTGGCGCTCCCCAACGCTGTAGGCTCATTTCACGACACAGGGCACAGCAGGTTGCAAAACCAGGTAGGACTAGGTAGCAATAGGGAAGGGTCTGGGATCCCAAATTTTTTAAAACATTCCACTGCTGCCTCGAATTTTCTTGAAATATGTGTAAAAGCAAAATGCTTAAAAGCAGCTAGATATCTGGACTCAAACCTTTCAGAGGCAGCTAAACTGGGTGGCAAAACACCGTCTGGCACTGGGACCTGAACAGGTAAGTGAAACTTACTGGAATGCCTGAGGAACTCAGCACAAATACAGCACACCATGCCCAACGCTGGATCTCTTTCCCGACTACACCAAAACCCCTTAGCCCTCCCCCAAAGTAAAAAGAAATCAGGGTAGGAGCTGGGAGAGAACTGCCCCCAAATCTATGCTTGAGAAGGCTTGACCACCATCTGCTTAGGTCAGGAGCCTGTGATTTGTGTGGCTCTCTCCTTTGTCTTCCTCCAGATATCTATCAGAGGAACCAACCCTAAATTACCCTAATGACTCCCCTTGCAGTGGTTCAGGCCAACATGTAAATTGTTGCAACAACACAGGGCTGAGTACATCCACATCATAAGGCATCCTTTATATAATTGCCAATGAAATATTAAATTATTAAACTGTGTCCTGTGCTTTCGTGTGTGAAAACTGCTCAGTAGCTCAGGCTGATTAGAATGCAATACAAAGTCTTCAGCTCTGCGTGCAGGCTCTTGACTTCCGTACCTTATTCTGTCCATTCCCTGCCCTCACCCACTCTTGCCTGCCAATTCCTCTCTATTCTTGAAACTCAGCTCATGCTTTCCTTTACTCAAGAAGCATGTGTTTGTATTCCTTTGTGTACCATCATAATCCTTTGCATATTGTAATCATCTATTGCTTTTTCTTTTGTAGAGCAAGCCCTTTTGTTTTTGTTTGCTAACATCTAGCAAAAATTTTGATACATATTAAGAAAGCGCATTTAATACCTGAAAAAAGTCTAGGAGAATGTACAGACATTGGTGGATACAATCGTAGGTACTATCGGTGAATAGTCTAATGGAAGATAAAAAAAGGAAACATAATCCCTGACTTACCAATTTAAAGATTAC